GCGAGGGGGGCTCGCCACGAGCCTGCCCTGCCCTCACACCAGCGCGTAGTCGAACTGGCCCCGCTCCAAGCCCTCCTTGTGGTCCGTCCAGGAGGAGGCGGGCATGCGGCTGTAGGGGTCCAGCAGGATGCGGAAGCAGCGCACCATGAGCATCACCAGGAACACCAGCAGGAAGATGACGAAGGCAAACACAGTTTTCTGCTCGGCATCCATGCCCGCGCCGCCGGCGGGGTGCTCCACCAGGGACGGGGAGAGCAGTTCATAATCCATGGTGGATGCATCATTCATGGCAGAGGCCGGGGGCTCCGGGGCACGGCGAGTTCGGGTGTGCCCGGGGCAACCAACTTCAGCCTCTCGCTGTGCCCAGGTACCGGGGAAAGCGCCTATTCCATGGGCAAACACTCGGGATCGGCTCCTGGCCCAGCCCAGAGCTCCTGGAGGGAAAAGCAGAGACGGTGAGGGAGCAGGAATTGGCATGGGAGAGATGGCGAGGGAGGGAGAATTGGGTGAGGGAGAAGGAATTGGGTAAAGGAGGGAGAATTGGCCACAGGGAAAGCAGAGATGGTGAAGGAGCAGGAATTGTGTGTGGAGAAGGCAAAGATGGTGAGAGAGAAGGAATTGGGTGAGGGAGAAGCAGAGATGGTGAGGCAGCAGGAATTGGATATGGACAAGGGAGAGATGGTGAAGGAGGGAGAAATGGCCACAGGGAAAGCAAAGATGGTGAGGGAAAAGGAATTGGGTGAAGGGGAAGCAGAGATGGTGAAGGAGCAGGAATTGTGTGTGGGGAAAGCAAAGATGGTGAGGGAGGAGGAGGAATTGGGTGAGGGAGAAGGAATTGGGCGAAGGGGATGCAGAAATGGTGAGGGAGGAGGAATTGGACGTGGAAAAACAGATGGTGAAGGAGAAGGAATTGGATGTGGGGGAAGCAGAGGCTGCAGAGGAGGAAGCGGCCCCGGGATGCAGCAACAGGCACAGGGAAGGGCCGGGAGGTTCACGGGGAATTTTGGATTTTCTGGCAAGCTCAGGAAGCCACTGATGAGGGCACAGGGTGGGTGGGCAGCCCGGGCACTGGAGCAGAGGCTGCTCCTCTGGCCATAAATCCCCAGCAATCCCCGGGGATCCTGAGGGACCCTTGGGAACCCCAAATCCCAGGAAATCCCCATTAAAAAGGAGCTGTGGGGGCAGAGGGGCTGCTCAGGGCAGGATCCTGATGGACACAAGGACAGGGACGGGCTCATTCCTGATGGGAATTCGTGTCCAGCAGGGTTTGGGGCAGAGGGAGCTCGAACAGGGGCACCCACCTGGCTGGGGCACCCACCTGGCTGGGGGACTCACCTGGCTGGGGACTCACCTGGCTGGGGACTCACCTGGCTGCAGCTGCGTGGGGACAGGAGCAGGGCCAGGCTGTGCCCACACGTCACCGTCACCGAGGGAGCGTCCGGCTGGCCAGGGCTTGGGGACAGGGACAGAGAGAACAAGGGGTTAAAAGGGAGGTGGAACTGCAGGGAGATCAGCAGAACATCCCGGGACTCCTCTGGAATTGCCAGAGGCTCTGGGAGAAGCACTGTGGGGGGAGCTCAGCCAGGAGAAATCCACACCAACCTCCCTGGAATATCCACACCAACCTCCCTGGAATATCCACATCAACATCCCTGGAATATCCACATCAATATCCCTGGAATATCCATATTAATGTCCCTGGAATATCCATATTAACGTCCCTGGAATATCCACACCAACCTCCCTGGAATATCCATATTAACATCCCTGGAATATCCATACCCCTGGAATATCCACATCAATATCCCTGGAATATCCATATTAATGTCCCTGGAATATCCACATCAACATTCCTGGGAGAACATCCATGACAACCTCGCTGGGAAAACATCCACGTCATCCTCCCTGGGAGAACATTGACACCACCCCCTCAGGAGAACATCCACACCATCATCCCTGGAACATCCACACCATCATCCCTGGAACATCCACACCATCATCCCTGGAACATCCACACCTTCATCCCTGGAACATCCACACCATCATCCCTGGAATATCCACACCTCAGCCCTGGAACATCCAAACCAACCTCCCTGGAACATCCACCCAAATATCCCTAGAATATCCACATCAATGTGGCTGGAATATCCACATCAGTATTCCTGGAATGTCCACACCAACAACACTGGAATATCCACATCAATATCCCTGGAACATCCACACCACCCTCCCCAGAATTGGATGGAATTGGATGGAATTGGGTGGAATTGGGTGGAACTGGACAACCCTGAGGCCCTTCCAGCCCAGCCCAGCCCATCCCGTGACTCTGTGCTCTGGATTTCCTGGGAATTGGGAGCAGATCCCCATCCCTGTGCTCAGGCCCCTCGAAGGAGGCTGCTGTTATTTCAGGAGCAGCTGATGGAGTTTTATTAAGATTTTATTCCTGTTCCCTTAGTAACTCAAAAGACACAGGCGAGGAAATTGCTTAATAGGGACAGAGCTCACAAAGGAACAGGATCACTGTCAACAATTCCAGGAGGCTGTGCCCAGGTTTTTCTGGGAACCAGGCACGAATTAAATGTTAATTTGGGAAGGCAAATACCTAATGAGATGCTTATTTAGAACAAAGGAGGGAGTCAGCAGGAGCCAGGCAGGATCTGGGTGTGATCCAAGTGGGATGAGGGGAAGGATCCAGGTTTGGGTTGGAAGGATCTGAAATCCCATCCAGAGCCGACCCCGACACCTCCCCCCTGCCCCAACCCCGCCCTGGGCACCTCCAGGGATCCAGGGGCAGCCACAGCTTCCCTGGGAATTCCATCCCAGCCCCTCCCCACCCTCACCCTAAAAAAATCTCCCTCATTTCCACCCTGAACCTCCCCTTTTTTTTTTTCCCTTAAAACCATCACCCCACCCTCATCTTGCTCACAAACGAATCATCGCAAAATCTCCCTGGAGGATTTTTTTTCCCCCGTGATTTTTGGTGCCTGAACTCCTCAAAGGTGGGGAAAGGTTTCCCCTGCAGGGTCTTGGGGTCCCTCCCTCCTTCCCTTCACCTCCAGAGCAGCAGGTCCGGGTGGCCGAGGTGTCCGAGGTGTCCGAGGTTGCTCCGTGCCCCTCTGGACACCCCTGGTGCTCCCCCCGGAGCTGCTGGAATCTCTGCTTTGCCTTTTTCAGTCATTGCTGCTGCTGGGACGGGCCCTGGCTGCCTCTGGAGCACATCCAGGGAAATCTGAGCTTCCCAAGGGATCAAACCCCGGAGCTGCCCCGAGTCCCCCGGGGGTTTTACCCCGATCAGAGCAGGGTGAGGAGCTCCTGCAGAGCACGGAGCTGTTCCCTCTCTTTTGTGGGACAATCCCGATTTTCCTCTCCTGCCTTTGCTGTGCATCCCAGAGCTGGATTATCCCCGGGAATCTGCTCCTGCTGTGCCCCCAGGGCTTCTCCTCTGTCTTGCCCCAGCAGGGATAAATGGATCCCCATGCCTGGGATCCACTGGGATCCACTGGGATCCACTGGGATCCACCTCCCCTTCCTTGTTTCTCCCTGCCAGGGTCAGACCCTTCTTTCCCCCTGGCATTCCCGAATTGTCCATGGCCAGGGGGGTGCTGAGCCCCCCCCTCACCTCCATCCTGACCCTCCTGGATCCATCCCAGCCTGGAGAACCAAGCAAAGCCAGAGCAGGCAGTGCTGCCCTTCCCAAGGGCACCTCCAGTGCCTCCTTCCCACGGGAAAAAAATCCCTTGGGAATATTCAGAAACAGGCACGTGTTCTCCTGCTCTGTCCAGCAGAAATTGGGGTTCCTGGGGAGTTCTCCACACTCCAGCAGTGCAGGGAACGCTCGGTGCCCGGGGCACAGGGCAGCCTCAGCAGGGGCAAATTAAAATTGCTCTGCTCAGTCCCGGGGCCCTGGCAGGGCTGGGAGGGCATGGATGAACAATTCCTGAAGGTCTCCTTCCCACTGCTCCTGGGAGAGCCTGCTGGGGCTGCCCTGGCAGTTCCCACAGTTCCTCTGGAGAAATTCATCCCCAAATCCCAAATGTGGCCAGAGGGTCCCTCAGTTCCTCCCCCTGCATCCCCCCATCCATGGATCCATCCGTGAATCCATCCATGGACCCACACCACACCCATGAATCCATCCTTTTTCCATCCATGAATCCATCCTTTCTCCCTCCATGGATCCACCCTTTTTCCATCCATGGATCCATCCTTTATCCCTCCATGGATCCATCCTTTTTCCATCCATGGATCCATCCCTCCCTCCCTCCCTCCCTCCCTCCCTCCCTCCATCAGTTCCTGGATCCCTGCAACGTCCCAGGCCAGTCTGGACAGAGTTTGGATCACCCTGGGATAGTGGGAAGTGTCCCTGCCCATGGGATGGGACTGGATGAGCTTTAAGGTCTCTTCCAACCCCAAACCATCCTGGAATTCTTTGCTTTAATTCAAATTTAACTCCAAGACTTTTGCTTCCAAATTTCCCCTGCCTCTCATGAAGTTCCTGCCTGTGGGAATTGCTGTGTGGAGCTTCCCACTCTGCCCTCTCTCCTTGGAAGGATTTCAGGGCTGGAAGGGATCCTTGTGCTGAGTTTTTTCCTCTTACAGCACAGAAATCTGGATGGTCCTGGGGGAGCTCTGGGGTTCCCTGAGGCTCTGGCACTCAGGAATATCAATCCCAGCCCTGCCTCAGAGCAGGGATTTGGGATCCTGGCTTTGGGGGACGCTGAAGGAATCCAGGTGGAGACAGGAATGCTCCTCCTGGATGATGAAATGAGGTTCAGCATTATCCCACCACCCAGCCCTGCGCTTTTGGGGAGAGGAAAATCCGAGTTTTCTCATCAGAATTCCCTTCCCTGTGAATGGCAGGATCTGAGGGCAGGATCTGAGCCCTTTCTTTGCTGACAAAGGGATTTGTGAGAGCCTGCAGTGGCTGCTCTGGGTACAGCCCTGTGGCACCGAGTGACTGTTCCTGCTTGGAGGACAATCCCACACTTGGCTGCTCCAGTTCCAGGCAAAAAAAAAAAAAAAAAAAAAAAAAAAAAAACCAAAAAAAAAAAAAAAAAAAAAAAAAAAAATCACCCGTGGCTGGATGTGGGGGGGAAACCATTTGTGATTCCTGCAGGTTCCAGCCATGGGAGGTTGGATTTAAGTGCCAATGGAAAATGAAAGAAAATCACCTTGGACTTCCTGGGAGCCTGGGTGGATGCAGGAGGAGAAATTCCTCCATGGAAAGGGTGGGGCAGGCTGGGCTCCCGTTCCTGCAGGGCTTGGAAGCCGTGGGGATGTGGCACTTGGGGGACAGGGGTGGCCTTGGCAGAGCTGGGAATGCTTGGGCTCCATGGCCCTGGAGGCTTTATCCAAACCTGATAATTCCAGGATTATTCTGGATGGCACCGGTGGGGCAGGGACAGCTCCCACCCCCTTTCCTGGGGGGGTCATTCCCAACATTCCCAACATTTCCCCGACCCCGTGCTGGGTGACACTGAGGGCAGGGAGTGTCCTGTGCTGTCCTTTCCTGCTCAAGCAGACAATTCCAGCTCGCTGCCCCTTCCCGAGCCAAGCCCAGCCCTGCAGAGCTCTCCTGGACAGGTGAGGGATGTTCCACACCTGAGCTGCTCCCTGATCCTGCAGGGGGGCTGGGAGCTCTCCCTGCACAAAATCCCAGCCCCGGCAGCTTCCCTGAACCCTGGGGAGAGAGGAGGAGAGGAATCCTGGTCCTGGGGAGGCTCCAGGGAGGAAAAGAGCAAAAGGAAAAAGGTCCTGGAGCAGGAATTTCCACGGTCAGGCAAACACAGGGAGGAAATCCCAATTCCCAGGGAGCCCTGAGGAGCTGCAGCCAGGGGAACCCACGACCATCGACTTCCCAAACAAATTCCTCCAGTTTTCCATCCAAACCAGCCTTTCCTGGTCGAGCCAGAGAGGTTTGTGAAAAAGGGGAGGGACAGGGAAGCTCTGGGGACAGGGTGACAGCACCAGGGTCCAGGTGCCAGCAGCCACCCCAGGAGAGGCTTGGGCAGCTCCAGAGCCACAAACATTCCCTGATCCCTGAGCCACAAACATTCCTGATCCCTGATCCACAAACATTTCCTGATCCACAAATATTCCTGATCCACAAACATTCCCTGGTCCCTGATCCACAAACATTCCTGATCCCAGAGCCACAAACATTCCCTGATCCCCAAACATTCCCTGACCCCTCTTTCCCTGCCATGGATGGACAGCAGGAATTTCCCAGTCCCTGTCCCCTCCTGCTCTGTTCTGTCACCCCCAGCCCCGCTCCAGAGCCCAGCCAGGAGCATCCCAGACTCCCAAAATGGATTTTGGTGCCAGCTCAGGTGCCCTGGAGGCTCTGGGCCACAAATCGTGCTGTCACTTCCAGTGGGACACATTAATCTGCTCCACAATTCCTGCAGAGAATCTCTGGATAACGAGGAGCATCCC